TCGCACTAGGATCCTCCTTCACCACGACAACGCCTCGTCGCACACCGCCAAGCGAACGATCGACTATTTGGCGACATCAAACGTTGAATTACTGGGTCACCCGCCGTATAGCCCCGACCTCGCGCCTTGTGATTTTTATTTATTTCCAAAAATTAAAGAAAAACTTAAAGGAAAGCGGTTTATGAATGCTGAAGAAGCGGTGGCTGCGTATCGCGATGCCATTGAAGAGACCCCTAAGGACGAGTGGGCAAAGTGCTTTTCCCAGTGGTTCCATCGCATGCAGCGGTGTATTGACGTGAATGGACAATATTTTGAAAAGATATAATAAAACTAATAACTGGCTAATGTAATCAGTTTTTGATTTTCTAAGAACTTTCAGTTTGACCCTCGTATGTGGCGAGTTCGTGGAGTCAGCGTCACGGGCCGGGCAGAGGCTGACAAGGGTGTAGACCCGTCGTCAGCTCCGGTCAGCAGCACTGAAGATCCACGAAGCTCAAGAGGACCGATTTCGGAGTTATTTAACTTACAACTTACAATTTTGAAAAATCACTTAAAAATGAATGTATTGATTCGCGAGAAGTAATTGAATACTATTTCACCAATATGAGCCGCGCTGCGCTCCTATGTCTGCCTACCTCCATAGTACAATTGTTAACATTGTACCTAGAATTATTTTTAAAGATATTTTTCTTTAAATTAATTTGTAATAAAAAGGAAATAAACACATCAGCTAAACATTCAAAAGAAGGACAGTTTAATAAGTAAACTGTTACATTAGGAACCAAAGACCATTGGTTGGTAGACGCCTACCGATGATTGAGAAACGCAAAAACGAATGGTTGAGAAACGAAAAAACGGTCGTAGCTGCTACCGACGGTTGAAGGTAGATTATTGAAACCGGAGTATAATTAACTAACCCTCGACGCAAAAAGAGGTGCGCTATAAGTTGGACGTGTCTGAGTGTGGCTTCTGAAATCAGTTAATTACTTAACTGATTTGAGTGCGATTCATTTTATTCGGGAGCCTCGTTCATCGCTGTGATTCTTAGCTATGTTTCAGGAAGACCAGACAATTAATTTAGAAGCTACAGGCACTTTACCAAGACGAAGCAGATACATTTTTCCATTAGTTATTTGTACTAGCAGCTTATTACTTACATCCTTACATAGCTTCTAAACGAAAAGGCCTATTTGATTAGTTTCTTTTATCGATCCCGTCTTTTAACAAGACCATTTTGAGATATAATTTTTGGTATTACAAATTTTAAAGGTATGAAATAAAAAATATTTTTTTTAATCTGTCTATAAGTATATAAATAATCTTTAAATTAAAAACAAGCTTGGCTTGACAAAATTCTATTTGAAGTCGGGGAAACCTTAATTACAAATGTTCCTTATAACGGCCACCTGACTGCAATAAGAATTTTGTTTAACCAGATGTAATATTAGGTCCTTACATATGAAATTGGTATGGGAGGAACAAAAAGTCAAATCTTTTTTTAATATAATATATTAGGTTTGCAATTGCTGACAACAGACGTCTGCCGTAATAGTCTGGCCAGATTTGAGAAAACTGTAATGAACGACACCGGCACTAGTCCACCAAACGCTTAAAAGTAACTTTTTTGTGGTCAATTTTCGCTTGGGGCAGGATTTGGTTGGCATACCAGGGTCCATCCATTGCGATGAGCACTTCCAATTATCGTAGAGAATCCACTTTTCATCACAGGTAATGATACGATTTAAAACCCTTCACTATTGTCCCGGTTAAGTAATGTAACGCAGCAGTCGAAGCGCGTTTGCCGGTTTTCTTCACTCAATGCGTGAGGTACCCACCTTTCAAGCCTAACGAGAGTTTACCGATAGTGTCATATTACTAATGACACTTAAATAAGACTAGCCATTTTAGACTTATAGATGTAGGTGTATACACCTGCGAGACGTATATTTAATAAAATTTGGATGAAAATTTATAATTAGTCATTAAAAATCCAGTTAATCTTCAAATTATTTTAAGGCACAATGATTTGGTTGAATGAAGTAAGTTGAATAAAGAAATAAAACATTTTGAATTTGTTTTAAAATAGTTGTACTTGTTATTTTATTGTAATATTCAAACGTGATTGCTATTTTATTTGCTAAAACTTTGCTTTTTTGGCAGTGAATAAACTAGCCACATTAGCTACTTTACATAATTTTCCCTACGGTTTGTAATTTCCTATATGTGCCTCTGAAACGTAGGATTAGGCTTTGTGTAGAACACAGATAGATTAGGCTTTTAGGGCTAACCTGGAAATGATTATTTTGATCTTGGTGGTTGAATCATGAACAAATAAATTCCGAGAAAGGACTTTTTCAGTCAATAAGAATCTATAGTTAGTACTTTAGCTGCGAATAATGTCCTCAATATTTCCTATTGAGATAAAAATGTCATGAAAATGTTTTTCTTTAAAGAAATCAACTTTGATATTCTTGTTGTTATTAAATGTGATAATTATATAATTTCAACATCAAAATTTAACATCCTAAACGCGTTAATAAAAAAGGCGTCGATTATACCTTTCCTTACGTCGAGGAAATGTATTCGGCATTATCCCTGCCGCCTGGCAAACGGCAAGCGTGTTAGGCTTCCCTGCGCAAAAGCACCACGTGGGTTCCCGGAGGTCTACCCACAAAAACTCTTACGGTGTAGCGTCGAATATACCTAGATTTAAGATATGTGTGCCCTTTCGAAATCAATAATAAAATGCTGTTTTCAGATATCCAAGAATTCTACGAGCTAACCCTTCTCGATGACACCAAGTCGATCCAACAGAAGACTGCGGAGACTATACGCATCGCCAACAAATGGGAGGCGGATGGCACCCGACGGGAGGTAGGTTGCTACATTGTTTTCTTATCAAGCCACAATTCTAGCTAGCTATACTAGGCATAGGATAAAAACATCTTAGCTATATTATGACGATATTTAATTTCATATTACTTCTTCGACGCTATGTTATCATTCGTTCGTCGTTATTAAAGAACGCATTAAAGTAGAAATATGTAATATGAAACAAAATATCGGCATAAAATCGCTAAGATGTCGTATCCTATGGTTAGTGTTCATGGCTTGAGTTAAGTGGTCGCATCCCTGAATTAAGATACGAGCCGTGCATTATAATATGAAATACGAATACAATACTAAAGTATCTTGTCTATATGAGGTGGGAAATTTCTTAATATGTGATTACCTATTCAGTAGCCGATTTTTATTATCAGCTACAGTTTTTAAAGAATGAATCCGAATATTGAAAAATCATGCTGTAAATAGTATACCTAGGTAGAATTGAAATTACAATTTCAGTTTCACCGCAGTTAATTTATAGCTGCCAGAGCAACAGAATTAAACCTGCGCTGAAGACAAACGGTAAAATCATTCGCTGCGGTTTATTTTGCATCTATAAACAATTTTCTGTAACAAACCGGTACACCAATTAATAGGGCTTTATTTAAAATACACAAAATGTTCAAAAATTTTATTTTTCAATAGGTTTTAAATGGTATCTAACGACTTGCGTTATTTGTCTTTAAAGCATTATTTAGCATTAGAGTCATTTGTGGTTATTTTTTCTAACAAGCCAGTTGATTATATGTTTATGTTTGGTAAAGTGATTTTTGTTTAGCAAATATTAGCACAGATATTTGCTAAGCAAAAATATAATAAAATTGCGTTGCATAGCGGTAATATCGTAGAACCTCACCTTAAGAGAATGTCTTCATCACCTTAGTATGATTTAGCTTTGGAAACTGTTTTTTGGCTAATGAATAACCTATTTAATTTCCTCGTTCATGTGTAATATTAATAGCTGTTTGTTTCTTTTGATAAATAAATAAAAATAAATAAACAAAATTAGAAAGTCTCTTCTTCAAAAAAAATAATAATGCAAGTAACGCGCGCTGGAAAAGTTTAATAGGTATAAAACTGTACCAATTGTAAAATTTACTGTAAATTCTACTCAAGTTCGACTACTATATTATTTGATTTAGTATCACGAAAGACAAACGTATCTACGAAACAAAGCGTAAGGGCACTATCTTTAGCGTAAGGGCTGTTAATGTTTTTGGCGGAATTACTGTCAATAGAGTCGAAATACTTTGTGATAGAGCCTCAGTAACCCAACTAGTAGATGAATCATATGTGCCTAACTTATGTGCTTAAAAATATTTAGCATAATTAATTTAAATTAGGATTATATTGAGCGTTTCAATTTCACATTTTAGATACCATCGGAGGAAACAGACTTTAAAGCACTATCGAATGCTTTTCTCCAAGACAACAACAAAAAATCAGAATCTCGCAATGAAACTCCCGATTCGACAAAGGTAAACGGCTATGTGTGTATAAATCTTTAATAGTTACTTACCTACTCTAAATGAATACATTTTAAAAAGAATATTGTAATCAGGTGGCTCCAGTACCTATTGTCATTCCACCGCAAAGTGGAAATACTGAAGAAAAGAAGGCAAGTACGATATAAAAGCACTTGCATGAGTTTTTTAGAATGTGAATTTAATTACTAAAATACTTTACCAATACATTTTAGTAACTATTAATTGAACTTAATAAGCGAACTAACTCAACTACCTAATGATTAAAAAAAAATACTTAGACCTAAGTAAATTCACATTATGAAACTGTTTTCTTTGCCATTTTATCGTCCGTTTCATTAAGTCTGTTAAGAATGGTGAAAATTTTTGTATAATAATTGTTATTATTACTTCGATGGCATTATATATAAAGAAAGATTGAGCAACTTTACTGAATTTTCAACACATAGACTTAAAAATACATAATAATATTATATTTATGTCTAAACGTCTAAGATATGGTTTATAACTGATTCTACCATACATAATATAGCTATTTCTAATTACAATACAGCGCCATCTGTCGTATTAACATGAGACTACAAAGGGATCAATCAGTTATTCGATAATTGCGTTTTGTTTTTTGATGACGTGACTTCTGTGAAGGTAGCTGACTGAACTGAACGCTACAACAATACAAGTGGTGGTAATGGCGGATGGTTGGTGTCTCGCGTCTCGTAGTACTATTTATAACCTAAAATATAGTACAAGTTTTCGGCGATATGTACGCTAACGTTTCTTGGTTGTGTGGATTGGTGCCGTTAAATTTCACAACTGTGCCAATGACGTACGAACGCTACATCGGCTGAGAAATACTCCCGTAGATGATAATCAGTGAAATGATATTGCACACAAAATTTTGACATTCACACTGCTGATATTTCGTATTCGTCGCAAGTAAGGCCATTTAATAAACACTAATCTATTTTTAAACGTTTAGTAATTTCATTATACTGTGGGAACGTTTTCGATTCTTGGTGAGACTAATGCGACTTCTGAGTTAGTTTTGCTTGTAACAATCTGCTAAGTTACTAGCTGATAGTACCTTATACCTTTAATATTATCGATTCGTCATAAATTGCACACTAATAACGTAACACATACATTCTAATTGAAGTTCATCGCTTTGACATTCATACCATCCTATCATCGTACACAAATTGGTAACACGCCTTTTAAATTATCTACCAGTACATATACTTACTAAAAACCGCTATCAGACAAGGGCTCGGCTCGATTTCTTACATTTAATAGATAAGGATTGCTGCAAATTCAATTTCTAACATGATTAACTTCCGAACGTAAAAAGAGGTCGCATTTTTGTAAAAGAGGTCACATACACCTGAAATGTGCTGGTGCAAGTTAGATATGGGTTCTAGGTAGAGAATGGTGCATGCAGAACATCAACAAGTAAGGTGCTGACAGTGAACACAAGTGTGTAACTAACATGCATGCAGTGTACATAGTATAAAACGGACATAAATACAAGTACCTGAAGGCTATGATTGCTAAGCCTCCAAAATGACTGAGAGACGGAAGAAAAAAACACATAATGGATTCCTACGAAAAGTGTCCTCCTTATTTAACATTGACACGGTAAGTTGATGATAAGTTGCTCTATCTTCAGGAATTTCCAAATTAAAGTAATTATATAAAATTTTCGCCATTATTAATGCAATAAATGAATAATTTAGTATATTTTAATTAGCATGGCTAATTAGCATTTTCATTTTAATTAACATTAGCTACATTAATATTTATATGTGAAATACATATTTTTAGTATTTACTTTTATTATGTTAGCAGTTTACCCCCTTGATTTTGTTGTGTAATCTATGATTTATTAATATCTCATTGGCATCCTCTATCAAAGTCATAACCAAGATTACTACTATTTGGTCCATATATCATTAACATGCCAAACAAGATAATAATTATTGTACTTGCCTTTCCTGACAGAAACCAATGAAGATATTTTTCACTAATAACTATTAAAATGTTCAAAGTAATTCTAACATAGTATCTAATTAACTAATGCTTGTGTGTTTTGTTTTTAAAATACTAACCATCACATTCTATTTTATATATGAAATATTAATAACAAAATTTAATCATTTATTTTCATAGCGTTACATATTGAAAGTGTTAATGAATAATACAATTTATATTCATACATATTATATTCAATGACACGTTTGGAAGCAATGTAAATGAATGTATACCATAGTAAGCAAAATAAAATTCTCTTTTATCAAATTTTAATGAGTTAAGCTATCAAAATTGTTTAGTGAATAATTGAAAAGGCCATTAAAATAAGTAATTTTATCTTCCAGGCTCACGTCACGTCTCCTGACATGAAGCAGGTAAATTAATATGTTATTAAACATAATTTATAAGGAAAATTTGTGTTGTTTACCCTTATTTATATGGTGCTTTGCCAATATAATAATCTAATTCATAAAATAGCAAATTGCATATAACCATTTGATTTTTTAAGCACTTTTCATTAGTAAAATAATCTTAACTAAAACATATTCAAACCTGTTATCAAAGAGACATATACAGAATGTACAGTAGCTCGGTGGCGTAGTGGATAAGCACCGCGGCCCGCGATCGTAGTCGTTAAGCAACTTTCGCAAGGATCGGTCATGGGATGGGTGACCAAAATATTATTATCTCGAGCTACTTCGTGCTTCGGAAGGCACTTTAAGCCGTTGGTCCCGGCTGCATTTGCAGTCGTTAATACCCTCCAACCCGCATTGGGCTAGCGTGGAGGGTCATGGCCCATCCTCCTTAACCATCCATAAGGAAGGCCTGAGCCCCTGCAGTGGGGACGTAAAAGGGCTGGTGATGTGATACAGAATGTAACATTAAGAAATGGTCAATATGCAAAAATCTGAAACTATAAGACATATGAAGATCTATGCATAGGAACTATGTCATCTGTTTTAGTGATAAGAAATACTGCATTTATACATTAAAAAAAACTAGTTCTTAGTTCAGGAATCAGACTAAGTTTTGAAAAATGAAACTATTTCTACTTAGATACCACCTATGTAGGGCTATGTTACTATGAAACATGATTTATTTTGTTATTGTTAAAATGTATATGTTGCAATTAATAGTCTTTTATTTAAAAGTTGCAGGTTAATGGAATAGAAGGTGGGGGAACTGACCGTATTCAAGGAGAAGACGGCTACACTTACTTAACAGTAGTACTGTCCCGCGCGGGCGGAGCTGGCTTGGGCTTCAGCATCGCCGGGGGCTCTGACAACCCACATGTGCCCGACGATCCACATATATACGTGACAAAGCTGATACCGGGAGGCGCGGCCGCCGCCAGCCAATTACAAATCAATGACGCCATATTACAGGTAAACCTATAATTTACAAATGGTAAGGAAATAAAATTGCTTGATGTATTATTTATAATGGAACAAATATACCCTGGATTAAGACTATTGTTTATTACGTTTGAATACTCTTTAGAGGTGCCATTTAGGAATATAAGCAAAAAAAAAAAAACAGTGAACAGATGTGAAATGAGTTATGAAACATCTATTTTCTCTGAAGTGTAATTTCTTAATTCAAATCAAATTATCAACCTTATTAATTATGCCAGAAAAATACTTTGTCACAATATTTGTAGCAAGTTCAGTATTTATTTTGTGCTTTGAATAGTGTTAATACTAACTCTTAGTTATCTTTTTTTGGAAATGGAATGTAACTTTCATTTTTTATTTAGGTTAACGACACGACGGTCGAAAACGTCACGCATGCAGAAGCAGTGGATGCACTGAAAAAAGCAGGCAATACAGTTAGACTGGTATGCCTTTGTATACTTGTTAAATTACTTTTATTAATCTGAAATTTGTAAATATGGTGATGATTTAAACAATCTATTTACAGAAAGTAAAACGTCGAAGCACAGATGACACGCTAAGTGTAACACAGACTTCGAATAAAGAAGAAGCAGTTGAAATTGAGTTGGTAAAAGGGGGGTCAGGTCTTGGCTTCAGTATAGCTGGTGGACTCGGCAATCAACACATTCCTGGCGACAATGGCATCTATGTCACCAAGATTATGGCCGGCGGCGCAGCCCATAGAGACGGTAGACTGCGAGTTGGAGACAAATTGCTTATGGTTAAAAATACTTCTGTGAGTACATATACAGTATACTTTATCTCGATAATTGTTAAATTTAATCTGTCATAGATAGATATATTATTAAATAAAAATTTAATTATTTTATAAAATTAAATTACATTATCACTGCAAATAAGTTATAAGACCTTCATCACAACACTTTGAAAAATATTTTATACACACTTGGCTTCTTTTTCAAAATATTATAACTTATGGAACAACATTAAATGTCATCAAATTATTATCTTTTATTTGGACGATTATCGTCAAAAAGAATAATTCAGACTTGAACTTTGTCTTGCTTTTGGTTGGAAACAGTAAAAAGTTTCTTGGTCAATACAACGTGATTGATCATGCAATGTTTATTAATAGAATTAAAGCGAACGGCCGCGGTTTTCACCCACGTGTTTATTGTTTTCTTCACGATAAGCTTGCTACTGATTTAAATACCGTTTCTGAGGAAAATTGATTATAACATACCTTTAAGAATAAGATTTATATATAGGTTTGTAAAATAAACGTATGGTTTGAGCTATAATTTTCACTGATTTATCTTTACTTATCATTAATGTAAACAGAAATGATTTGATTGTATAAAATCATTAAATAGACTCCAAAAATAGTGGACCAATTTTAAATTTTTTCACCTACAGGAAACTATGATCATATAAACTATAATTTAAGCAAGCGAAGTCTTTGGAAAACAGCACGTATTTTATATTATAAATTACTTTCATATTCAACTGAGACACAAACTATGGTTTGTCTTGATTGTTGCAATTTGTGACAAAGTAGGTACTAAAACAATGGCACATAAAATTCTAAAGAAATAGTATGAATCATAACCTGCAATGAAGTTGCGACAGTGGTTGTGATAGTAAGTTTTTGTGTTCCCCTTAATTAAATAAATAGTTACTTAAAATATGTCTAATAAAGGCTATTATAGACCACAAAATGCTTGATTACTCGGGCAGGATAGTTTTTAAAATAGATGCAAATATAAAAGGCATTTTAGATTTCAGAATAAGTTTGTGTAAGACTGCTAGTATGAGTAGGGTTGGGACAACGTTTATGACCCATTAATATAATCAGTGAGATTACTTTAATATCAGTTTTTCATTTTTTCTGCAAGTTTACAACTTAGGAATCTAAATTTTTTACAGATTTAAAGTTTTTGGCTAAGTTATTTGAGCTGCTAAATGTAAATAATTTTCCTTGAGAAGGGAAGAAATGCGTAGTTTTAGAGGTAAATTTACTTTTTCATGTTATTTTAGAAATTCTATTTTTTCACAGCTTCAAGAGACTGTATACTTGATATCTTCACACAGTCCCGAAATAACCTTTATTTGACAGATAAGCAGACAGATAACAAAGTGATCCTATAATTCCCTTTTTTTTCTTTTGAGATATAGAATCTTATTAAGGAATTAATTTTGGTTTACTTATTTACTTCGCCCGCATAAATTATAATTTGTAGCTTAATGTATAATGAAGCTTCTCGTATGTGAAAGAATTAATTGGATCAGTGTTTTCCAATATTAGTAACTTACGACTTTATAATATTAGTATTAATTGTTCTAAATTTTTCGAAGTGTAGGACCTAGGTGCTGCTTTCTTGCAGCTAAATCGGTGATATTTAAGTTGATGTTAGTATTGCGCAATTATTCCGCTGGCGCTTATTCGCCGTTCTAAAAACTTAACGGACAACAGGTTGTCGTCTATTGTCTAAAAATATCTAAAATATAAACAAAACACCTGCCACTAGCTAAAATGCCTATCGAAATTATAGTGTTTCAAAATCAGTTGTGTAACAACTGCCAATTCTGTCACCGTTACCATTTATATGTTATATTTTTGATCTAGAATTCAAATTCAGAGTATGCAAGGAATACCTGTGCCCGGAAGTGATTAATAGGCCGATGACGATATGTGTGTAAATAAAAACGTTTTAATGTATCCAATCCGGAGTATCTCGTAGTGGTAAGCGCCGTGGCCCACATTCGTTGTTAAGTTGTGATGACTATCGCACAAATGGATTATATTGAGCTACTCCGTGCCTCGGAAGGCACCTTAAGCGGATGTTCCCGGCTGCAATTGCAATTGTTAACACTCTCCAATCTGCATTATGCTAGCATGGAGGTTCATTGCCCATTCTCCTTTACCATCCATAAGAAAACATGAGCCCCCTACAGTGGGAACGTTAAAAGGCTGATGATAATGATGATGATGTATCCGTTTAGCTCGGCGATGTGAATCTGGATAACGTAACGCACGAAGAGGCGGTGGCCGCTCTGAAGGCGTCTGGCGAACGCGTACAGCTAGTATTAGTGCCCGGTCCGCGGCACTCGCAACCTTCGCCGCGACCCTCGCGAGCAAATACACGTCAGTATAACACAGCACAGTCGTCGAACAGAAAGAACAGAGTATTTGACAACATTAAAATATATTAAAACACATAATTTTACTTTATTTAAAACGAAATGTATATTTTTTTCAGATTACACAAAATAAAATTAAATATTTTTTGACATTTGCAACTCCGATGACGTTACACGCTAGTAAATATGGCTTCCTGTTGACGGTTTTAGTATGATGAATTTAATTTATTTACCAGTGTGACGTCATTCATGGTGTTTTTCGTGCGGTTTCGGAAATTAAAACTTTAACTTTGGTTATAATATTGGCTAGAAGCATCTGTGCGAATAGCAATATGTTTGCACACTAGTGAAAGAAAATATGTAAAGCCAGGTCATTGTACGAAATTCTCTCTGTTCGGTGACTTTTATTATTTTTTTTATTAGAGTGGAAGCAATTACCCGAGTAAAAGTCATAACTAAAGCTGATATACTTAACAAATAATCAAAAACTTAAGTAAGAACTGAAAACAGTTAATAATAACTTTACTTTACCATTTGATAGTTCTAACTCTTTATTGGTAAGAAATATTTGCTTAAGATTTTTGTTCCATTATTACTTCTACTCTATTATATATAAGGCTTTTGTTTAAGGGTTTCTAAGATAAAAACAAACAGCTAAATATTTAACCCTGACGAAATCCAAAAGGGCAACGCCAATATATTAAAAAAACATATGAAACACATTGATAATAGAAAACAAATGAAGTATTTTGTACTATTTTTTATTACTATTCTCTAAAAGTTAAAATGTTGTTATATTAGAAAAAGCACTTATACATTTTGTTATTTTTGTTCCTGAAAAATATTACAATAAATAAATGAAATTTGTTAGAGAATTTAAATTTTTGTTATATACAGCGTCGAGTACGGCGAATTCGCTGCGTCGTGAGGACGTAACCGATAGTACCGAAGAGCCCCGAGTAGTGGAACTGGAGAAGGGTCCACAAGGGCTGGGGTTCAACATAGTGGGCGGTGAGGACGGACACGGTATATACGTGTCCTTCCTGCTAGCCGGCGGACCCGCTGAAAGATCTGGATTGTTGAGACGTGGTGATAGACTGCTCGCCGTCAACGATGTGGACATTACACATGCCACTCACGAACAGGCCGCTAAAGCCCTCAAGGTGAGTTCTACAACCTCAAAAGTGTATTGAAATTTTTCACAGAAAAAATATTTTGTTTCTATGGATTATATTTTTTATATGTGCTTTTAAACCCAACTTTTTAGTTTAGTTTTAATTGTGGATTGTCCCATTACATTGACACCATTGCCTTGTTACATCCTTATTTAATATTTATTATTTTTTGTGGTCATTAATGTTGCCTAAAATTATAACGACAACCTTTTGGAAAATGTTTCGAACCCCTGAAATGTCACTTAGATAATAACAAATTTATTAATAATTTTATAACACATAGATACTATTTCAGAATAGTGAAGAATTTTTCGTAATTCAAATAATGTATAAGCTCAATGGTGTTGTCAAACACCCAAATTTGTTAATTGGACTATGATTTGTACAATTACACAGTAAAATATAAGTATATTGTATTTTACATTTTAATAATCTTATAGTAGAACACACAATTCAATAACAATTTTCCCATTTCAGGGCACAGGTCAAAACGTGAGATTAACAGTTGTGTATAGGCCGACGGAATACAACAAATTTGAAGCTCGCATCAATGAACTGAAACAACATCATACGCTACTCAGGACATCTCAGAAGCGATCCCTATATGTTAGGTGAGATATACAAAATATGCTTGAAAAATATTTTTATGTTGGTCTCTGATTATAAGTTACTTCAATAGAAAAAATTACAGGATAGAGCTACTGAGTAGCTCAGTGGCAGTGGCCTGAGCCCTTGTAATAGGAACGTAAAAGGGCAGTATGGGTCATATATTGTATTCATGTAAAAATATCGAGCAGCCTTAATATTTCTGAGTAGCGGCTATAAATAATCGCTAACAATACATAATTACAACCAGATAGCCAATTTTTCTTCAGGCAAAATACGCCTTTATATTCATTGAAAAAAGAATGCTTGATGTGTGACAAGATAACTATAGAATGCATGATTTATTCCGGCACAAAGCTATAAAATAACAGTTTTAGGTATTTTTTACTTAATATAATGTAATGTGAATTTTAGTGAATTATCTGTTCATCTTAATTTACCTAATATATTTATTATTTCAGAGCACTATTCGATTATGACCCAGTGAGAGATGATGGGTTGCCTTCTCGAGGGCTGCCCTTCCGCTATGGTGACATTTTGCATGTCACCAATGCTTCAGACGACGAATGGTGGCAAGCGAGGTGAGAACCACATATGTACTAATAACTTATTAATTTGGTTTACGAAGTACACTCAACAGCACATTAGGATATTTATTTACATATTTGTCGATCATTTTAAACCTTAATGCATTGAGGGTTAAGTTCAGAATCAACTGCGGAAAGTCATATTTTGTATGTACATACATATAAAGTATTGAATTTGAATTTTCAATTAACTGGAATTGCAGATAAACAGATTGCAATATTATTAATTAATTATCATTTTCTTGTACAAATAATTGTATGATTTTTATCATTCTAAAATTGATTGTATCTCATAAATACTAAGCGCAGTAGTAATACTCCAAATGAATGACGCGATAATTAAAAAACCAAAACACATTGCGATGTTCAAACTACAGGTGAATTAATCATACTGTACAAACTTATATAGAATGTATCAGATATGGCACGGTTAATTACACTCGGTCATGGTCAAATCTGTTTGCTGTTACACTTATTGCCTTTTATTTAACATATGATTCATCAGTGCACAACAATGAACCTGTATTATATTATGGTACATATGTATTTATAAACATTTGACTAATTTCATTCTATATGTGCGTTATATTTTTATCAGAAGCAGTGGTTCCTGTGGGAACTGCAGGATAGAAAATATAAAACTTGTGTCTTAAAATGCAACTTTGTCTCTACATTATTCTTTTTACGAATTTTTGTTTTATTATAATGACAACTCCCAAAATATAATTTAACTTTTAGGCAGTTATAGACTACTTATCATAAAAAGTCCCCAATGTGCATCTAGTTCTATGTCAATGAAGATTATTATTACTTTATAAAAACATGCTAACATTATTAGTGAGATAAAAAATAATCTATTAGAATGAGCAAATTTTTCATAAGTAATATATGTATACAGACGGCTAGACAAGGCGGACGCGGACGCGATAGGCATAATACCATCGAAACGTCGATGGGAACGAAAACAACGAGCCAGAGACAGACAGGTCAAGTTCCAAGGACAAGGCACGCCAGTCAGCACTGTGAGTATAATAGAATACCTACACATTTACTAAGCAAGCCATATAACAATAGAATTGTTAAACTCTTGGTTCGCAATGCGCTTCAATTTCAGGGTGTAAGGTGTGCAAAAAACAAATCTAAAATATATTTACATTTTGTAAATAAATGCATTATCATAGTATGATATAGCGAATTGAGGCAGACTGACATTTGTATTGAACCTGAAATGTTTAATGGCAACGGGTTTAGAATGTCCGTTATGAAACGTTACGAAATATCGTCTATTACATATATAGTAATAAAGAAAAGACCAATAAAGAAACAAAATTCTATTGATTATTTATATCCAATAATATACCTATGTATAAAGTCAAACGAATCCAAAAAATATTTAGCCAACTCTATTTTATTATTATCTGTACTAAATTAACAGCTGGCCCGACAAGTTGGTAGCTAACATGTGTTATTTGGCCCGCATTTGTTTGATATCATAATCAACCTATCGCCCCACTACTGGGCCAAATGGCTTTCCTATGAATAAAATCGAACTGAACTAGGAGAATAGGCCATGATCTACCACACTAGTCCAGAGCAAATTGATAGGAGTTAACGACGGCAGATGCTGCCGGGACCAATGGCTTAACGTGCCCTCCGAAGCCCAGAAAAGCTGAAGCTAGTAAAATATTGATCACCCGTCGGAACGGCTCTTTCGAATCTTGTCTAACTTGCGAACGCGCTAACCACTGTACGATAGAACTCCTATTTTTTTGACAACAATTTACATTATTAATAACGCCAGTATTACAAACTGATTGATGATCTAAAAGACATCACAATCAAGTATTATGCCACTTTAAGTTTTTTAAGAATTAAACCTGTAATTTCACATTTCCATGCTTCTTCAAACTTATTCAAATTAATTTTAATCAAAGGAACTTAAATAATAGATACAAATAATTATAAATAAAAAAAAATCTCACAGAGCCAGTCAACGTTAGAGAGAAAAAAGAAGACTCTATCATTCAGCAGAAAGTTCCCATTTATGAAGAGCCGTGAGGACGGCAAATCTGAAGATGGTTCGGACCAAGAACGTAAGTCCTATCGAAGTGTATTCAATATTATATTTTTTAATAGACCGTCACATTACAGTTGCTTTATTCTTATCGTCATATTTGTATATATTTTAATGGAGGTATATTTTTAATATAAAAAAAAAGCTTGTGGGGTCCACTGCTACTTGAATTATTTGTATTTTTCATAATAGCCTTCAAAAAGTCTTTTACACCGGTGTCACCTAGTGGTGTTATTGAAGGGTTTTCTTTTGACACTTATCGGGGATAATGATTTCTATTAAGTCCGTCAGTTAGATAATAGAAAAATATTAGATACGTATTTCTTTTTTAGCTTCAATTTAACCAAGGAATGGTTTAGATAATAGGCATTAAAGTTGAGGAGTAGAGGCTCGCTACTTCACAGTTTTGTAGAAAATGTACAAAAGCGTGACTGCATACTGCATTTCAACTGAATGTATCGCCTTAATTAATTGATTACGCAAAAAATAAAAAAATACGTATTTAATATCCTTCATTAATCTACCTTACGGTCTAACAAATAAATATTAGTCGTCATCCCTATCGGGTATATCTAATCCTCAATATGTGCTAACAAAGTTCAATGCAATGCTTATATTAATAGACTAAGCTTTTGAAAGCACCAAATTAATACTATAATTCTGTTCCAGCTTTCATGCTTTGTTACACGCAAGAGGACGCAAACGCGGACGGTAAGTGCACGTTCTCCTTTCAACTTACACATTCTTGTTACATTCGCTATTTTGCTGTTTAATGTACTTAGGTCATTTTTACATTACGCAGTTTTATTTCATGCGGCTGCTAATAACCACGTATTGAGTTAGGTGTTTTTACATCGGAGCTATTCGCTTGTTCTAACCACAGACTGTTTACCTCACGGACATTATGGGAAGTGAATCGCGCTATTTACCCATTACATAAACAGGTATTGATATCACTTTATACGAAATAGGTTCTGTATTTTATGTGTAAAAGAATGCAGTATCTTTGAGTATATTGAGTGAAGATAAAATTAAATGTTACTGTTTATACTTTACTCGAATATTCACAAGATACCTGTAAAACTGACACAATGTACTGATAGGATTAATTTATATTTAATCGTTAAAATTAATCAAATCCGATGATTGGATGAGCAAAATTCTGAATGTAGTCTTTTTTTATGGTGTCGATAAAATTTATTCGTGATCAAAAATTATATTGGATTATACGTGAGTAAAAATTATCGCTTGTAGTGTATATGGATAAGCATGATGGTGCCTATAATTTATATAGGTTTAGATTATTATCCAGTATCAGCATAAACATTGTCGCTTGTCAGATGTTACTGTGTGGGTGAACCGATGACAAGCTATGTAATTCATTACCTCCCTATATGTGTTAGATAGTTCAAAATTTTTTGTCAATAGCTCAAGCCTCACAACCGTGTTTTATTTATGTTTTATATATTGAAATTCAAAGACAATTTAATTTTGATTATGTATAAAAAAATATATAAAGCGTATTCTCTAAATAACTACTTTTATAACATATACAGGGATTATAAAAATTAGTCACCTCGCAGGATTTAATAGTTGAAAAAAGCGACAATATTTTTAACATTAAAAAATACCGTGAAAGTTTTTTTTTTCATATTAGTCGTGCCATTTATATATCTATGTTTTATTTGTAAAAGAAAATACACTGTTCCGCTCGTATGCTAGATAGAATTCGTGAGTTGACAATATTTCAAATGTTATTTCTAATAATTTAATTACCTATAATTTTCATATGTATTTCTTTTTCATTCAGTCTTATAATGCAATGAAAATGTGATTTATCAATAATATTTATATTAAACGCCAAAATGAGGCAATTCGATTTGTGACGTCATTGTTCAAAATGACAGCCATATGACAGCTAACTAGGCATAACGATTAATTTTGAAAAATTAATATATATATTTATAAAATAATAATATTTGGTCCTATTTAATCTTGAATTAATTTTGATCAATTCAGAGATCTATTTTATCAAAATCCACATGCCTATTATGACTCATTTAAATATCACCTGTTCTGCCATTTTGATCAATTACGTTGTTTTTATGACGTGAGTAGAAGTTTGAAAATCGTATTTTTTAGATTCATTATCAATAAACGTTTGTGATCGATTACACGTAAAGTTATTATACTTAAAGCAGTAAATTCAACTATATTTTTGTATGAAAATATAATTTAACGAATTATCAAAAATCATAAAATAAACGTCCTTTTTTGATTTTGGCTATCTAATCTTGCATTTTGTTGGTGTTTACAATTTTCCCTGTATAAAATTACTAATGTATCTTTATGTCATATAAACAAAACATGGTTGTGTGACATAAGCTTAGGCTACGATACGACTTGGTGTTACACATGTAGTATATATGTTAAACTAGGAATGGGTCGCAGCGAGCACAAGGATTGGTATCAGACACATTCAGCCGCCCGTCCCGTGCTTCTAGTTGCCTAACCGGTGCCAAGCAACGTGTTAACATCCATCAGATTTCAAATATAATGTATTTTTATTTGCTATTTATGTTCAAAAGCGCTATTCATGACTTTAGCGAGCTGCTAACGAAGCGTTATGCCAAAGTGATAATGGAATTCCTAAACGTTAATTCGATTACGCCATAAAAAAATCCCGCTATCGAAACTGTCTTATCACCCGCACAAACCCCGTGTCCAATAACGGACTTGTCCGCATTGAAGACATTGTAATAAATATGTGTAACGTTAATTTTTCTACGTGTAGGGGAAATCTTGTACCGAGTGGAACTTCCCATGATGGAGGAGATAACGCTCATTTATCTCGAGGACGAGAGTAAGTTATGGGAGTGAGGCGTAGCTTGCGAGTGCCGTAGCCGATACCTTACCTCCCGCATTCTGGTTATGAATCATCAATTAGAAACGTAGTTTTTCATTTCAATAACACTCCAGTTTTTTTTTTTTTGTTGTTGTTATTATTTGTCATACTTTCTTTTACGTTCAGTTGTTTTTTAATCATACAACGCGTCGATTCTAATAGCCTCTTCGCACTCGAAAGTTCATCGCGCTCACGAAAGTTTGGATCATGTTTCAATGAATTGTGATAATCACCCGTTCACGATGTTAGAGTCGCAATATGAGCATTCAGGCGCGTTAGTGGGTGTTTGGGGCCACTGGAAGCACATGAGGACACCAGAGCCTACTGTCACTCGAGCTGACGCTTCGCGCGCATGTACGCACGCGGTATACGCGCTTCGCATATAGATATATATATACATATATATATAGTTACACCGACACTGGCATGTTCGATACCACCCAGTGGCGGACTAAGGGGGGAAGGGTGGGGGGCTCCAAATGTCTGCAAGTTTCCTCGATCTAATCATAAATTGGAGTTGTACTGCATTTTCTTTGTTATGTCAAGTTTCGTAGTCTTAGCAGGCGTCTCAGCAGGGGCGGGGGGGAGGAACGCAATATAAAGTTTGGAAAGAGTTTTAGGTCTGGGCCTGATGTCACCCCGGACCCCCGATGGCGTTAGTCCGCCACTGATACCACAGCAAACATATACAAACACACGCACATACGGATGGATGAACATAGTTAATCTCGTATTCTAAATTAATTATAATCTCTTATATATTGTATATAATCTCACATTCCACATCACTGAATTTAGTTGTAATGTAATGCCTACATAAAAATTTGTCTTCTGTTAATTTTATCGTAGCAGAGATCGATTCTGATGTGACTATTCAATAAAGGTCACAAATGCCTTAAACTGTATATTGTCTTCCTTAACTCCTTGTAGCAGTCAAATAAGATTTGTGTCGGTCACATCAGAATTAGACATGTTATGATTACTATCGATTCGGTTAACATAGTGTTAAATGATCTAATCCAATGATGAATCGACACTATATTCGTCTATCTACGTTAAAATAAGTATTCGTTGGACACAGATATAATCTTACGTTCACGACATATATCATTCGAGCTTATTTTTTTTAATTTAAATTAAGCTGTGCTGGTTCACTTTTAGTGTTAATTATTTGTCGCTTGTGATATTCAGGAGGTTATAATTTATTTTACTGCTATAGAAATCGATGTCAACGAGACATTCGCTTGAATGTTGTTTTAATATATGGTACGGTGCATTAGCCAGAGTTAACCAATCTTTTTATACCCTAGTAAGAAAAATGATCTGGTTCTAATGAACTTCATCCATATTTCATAGTGAATAATAGTTTCTATAAGCATGTGATCAAATACGAAGCTACATCTGAAACGTGCAAATATAATTTAATAATTTCTAATTAATATCGTCAATATAAAAGACTGAGGCGATATATAACATTAGTTGTCTAGTAGTGGTGTGAGAACAAACGCTTTTGTACATTGTTAGCCTTAGTCGATTAATTATAATGTATTTTAGAAAGTAATTATGTGATGTATATCTAGAAATGTAATGTAATTTATTATTAAACTGAGTAGATAGGATTATGTAGTGTCAAAACTTAATAATGTTATTTTAGGATTATGATTCTCTGTAATATAAGTTATTGTTTTGTTATTATCTCAATAAGTATTAGATGAAAGCACATGCATTTATGCACGCTAATAGAGCTGTCGACACTAATAGCACCGTTATAATTTCACTATTTATACACTAGTGCGTAGTGAAATAGTTTACAAATTTTTATAAAATTCTATAAAGTTCCTTTAACATTTGATTTATAACATCATTAAAATCCATATGGATCATTCTAAATAATACCAATTAATTAGTCTCGTTTTGATATGATATTAGGATATACCATCTGTTTTAAAGAAATACTGCTTACCCCTTTTGCGTTTCTCAGGTCAAGATGAGACAGTGTTGTCGTATGAGACAGTGCAACAATTGACGATCGGTTACACGAGACCCGTCATAATCCTGGGCCCACTCAAGGACAGAATAAACGATGATCTAATATCGGAGTTCCCCGATAAGTTTGGCAGTTGCGTGCCTCGTGAGTAAATTTTTTTTTAAATTCTTTCATATTTGCAATATTGGTGATATTGCAATAAATGTTTACTAAATCTTTATAATTCTGCCATTATTAATATTTGATAGGAATTATCTAATTTAACTTAAACGTTATAATCAAAAATTGATAACAGCAATAATTGGTCACAGTTTCAGATAAACTGATTTATTGTTGACTGGCAACCCTAATAATTATTACACATTTCTATAAAATAGGCAAAACCTAAATTTGACATTGTTAACAATAAATCAATATGCATGATTGTTAAATGTAGTAATAATTATAAACTCGATTTAATGAATAAATTATGTAGATTTCTCATTTATTCGCGAATGGCAGTGTCTAATATCCGTGTAGAACACAAGTACCGCCGAAATTAAAAAAGGACTTTCAAATAGCATATCGGTTCTCTCTAGAATACGTCCTTAAATATAGATAATAGCATAATATATAATTATAACGTAACTCGGTGGCATAGTGGATAAGCGCCGCGGCCCGCGATCATAGTTGTTAAGTAACTTTCGCGAGGGTCGGTCACGCGATGGGTGACCAAAAAATTATTATCTCGAGCTACTCCATGCTTCGGAAGGCACGTTAAGCCGTTGATCCCGGCTGCAATTGCAGTCGCTAATACCCTCCAATTGAGACAGCGCTGAAGGGTCATGGCCCATCCTCCTTAACCATAAGGAAGGCCTGAGCCCTTGTGGGGACGTAAAAGGGCTGGTGATGATGATAATTTTTAACAGATACAACAAGGCCGCGGCGCGACTACGAAGTGGACGGTCGTGACTATCACTTCGTTGCGAGTCGCGAGCAGATGGAGCGCGATATACAGAACCACCTGTTCATAGAAGCCGGTCAATACAATGACAACCTCTATGGCACCTCTGTGGCCTCGGTCCGGGAAGTTGCTGAGAAGGTAATAAGAAATTTATTATCATACTAGATTTCCGCCAGCGGCTTCGCCGGCGTGGTCCTCAAGGAACTGTTTTTTTGGTTTTCGATTCATATTTTATCGTTTTAATTCCTTATACAAACTTCCACTTCCATTTTTATCCCTTTGCCGTTTTTCTTATAAAATATAGCCTATATCCACCGCATATGATGTAGCTTACAATAGGTGAAAGAATTTTACCATAGGTGAAAAATCGGTCCAGTAGTTTTGAAGCCATTGCAAACAAACAATCAATCGAATTTTTCCTATTTACAATATTAGTATAGAGGAATTTATTATCATACAAATACGAATTGCTAGATTTAAAACAAGTATCAGAAATTGGCTGCTTCCTTCCACATGCTAGGTTTTATTATAAAAAGTTGAACAATGTTAGTACTTGTTATACTTGTTGTAATAGAACCATTGACCACCTAAATCAAATTATCAATGACCAAAAATAAAAAGTCAAATTAAGATGTGTTGACTTATTGTGGTCAGATAATGTCTTAAACCTGCTACTAAAGTGAAACCTCGTTTTAGAATAGGACACGTTAAGCCGTTGTTCCCGGCTGCATTTGCAGTCGTTAATACCCTCCAATCCGCATTGGGCCAGCGTGGGAGGGTCATGGCCCATCCTCCTTAACCATCTATAAGGAAAGCCTGAGCCCCTGCAGTAGGGACGTAAAAGGGTTGATGATGATGACAACTATGTGTGATTTGTTGATTCGTATGATATACAGTTGAATGTACATTAAGTACTAACCACCTAAGTAAATTAATTGAATAATAATTATTTGTTGCAGGGCAAACATTGCATTTTGGACGTCAGCGGGAACGCTATAAAAAGATTGCAAGTGGCGCAACTATATCCAATCGCTATATTTATAAAACCAAAGAGCGTAGAATCTATAATGTAAGTGTTTATGTTAAAATGTTGATTATTATCTAAATTAGAACTGGACTAGACAAATTTATTTTTCGTGCTACAGGGAAATGAATAAACGAATGACAGAAGAACAAGCGAAGAAAACGTACGAACGCGCTCTGAAAATGGAGCAAGAGTTTGCTGAATATTTTACTGGTGAGTATATTATTTATAGTACTCGTAGTATTTGTTGATGACAACTTTGCCAGCTTTATGACTGACACTTTTTTATTGTTTGTTGCTGTCTTGTCTTGTGTAGGGACATTCCGATATTAGTAAATACGAGTAACTACTCGTTACCAAGTACTAATAGCATCGAATCATTCATGCGATACTTACTCGATATCGATACAAAAGTACTTGGTATTAAACCAAATCCAAACCAAATCAAAACAGAACGAGAGGGCGAATGCTCTCTAGTTTGTTGTATTTTTTTATCTCTCTCTCTCTCTCCATCCCATGGTTGCCTGGAAGAAGTCGCTTTAAGCGATAAGGCCGCCAATTGTTACATTATTTTGTAAAACTTTTTGTAAATGTTTTAGATGTGGCTGTGTTATGTTAACAATAAAAAAATAAAACTATTATATTCCATTCTAAACGATTCTCTAAACATATAAGTGACATCAGTCATCGTGTAGATGACTGATGTCACTTTTATGTTTACTTTTGCACGTCACCCACAGTTGCACGTCAGGCTACAACAATATGTCAGATTTCCTCAAGTGATTTTGTACTCTACCCTCCATATATTAAAGTTTAAAATCAAGTGGAGAATTATGACTGCAGTGGGTACGTAAAAGTGCTGACGACGATGAATGTTTCAGCGGTAGTAACTGGCGACACGCCTGAGGAGATCTACGCTAAGGTGAAGACGGTGATCACAGCGGAGAGCGGGCCCACTGTATGGGTGCCGCGCCGCGAGCCGCTGTGAGCTGTGCCATAACCCCTCCCCGCGTTATAATCCCCGCGAATTGCTAATGCGCCTGGCCGCCATTTTGTCGACGTAATTGCGTTCAACAATCAGTACCGTTAGCAAATAAACACTGGTTGACGAATACAATTATTGAGTTGGGTTGTGTTGATGACACACACGATTTTTATTGTTTTCGATTGTTATTGACTAGCAACTGCTAATATGATCTTCACACAAAATTAGGTTAGTTTCAATAAAAATAAATATATTAATGTCTCTTATATCATTATTACTTCCATGTTTAAAAAAATGTCCTGTCCGTTAGATTTCGCATTATTACAATGTAAATATTATTTTTTTATTTATACTCCTCAAATTAAATGCAATAAATTAACAAATTAAAAGGTTTTAAATTATTTTAAAAGTATTTTATGGATTCATACAAATTTTAATAATTAATAAATAATTTATCTCTTGCATTTGCTATCTATACTTTCTATTTTTAAATGACGTAACGCGGGTATTATTTAGACTACGTTCCAGCGCATTAGCAATTTACGGGATTTATACACCCGAATAGTGCCTCGAGTTCTCGCCCCCTCGCCCAGCGGTAAAGCTCGTCCGTTATTTTGTCGGTATTATATAATCGCGTATAGGGTTGTAACGGATTCACGCTACCATCGGTTTTAGCACGTTCGCATGCCTGCCTATTCAGTAAACACATTAACAGTACCTTCGATTTAGCATTGGTTTCAATCAAAATGAAATTATGTTTCAATCCAATATAGTGCTTTTAAACGTAAAGTAAGGCACGAAAGTAAACTACTCTACTGTAAAAATATTAAAAAATAAAGACTACAATAAAATTAAAAAGTGGAATCTTAATACTTATCTATACAAGACGCTTAATATATTTATTTAAGAAACTTCTTTAAAAATCGGGTGATTAATATTAATAAACCGTAAAGTTTCACGTTTGATTTGACTTTCGGTACCGTACAATATAGTATTGAACGTCAAGTGCATTTTGACTCAACCCCATGTTAAGGAATAAAGGAAGGAAGTCGATGTAAGTGTAGTTATGTGATAGGACCGCGGGTAATGTGCGAGCGCTGCAAAACGCTGTTATCGTCGATTCGAGTCACCCGTAGACTTAGGTAGACGAACATGATGCCTCTGATTTATTGGATTGTTATAGAATATTGATAGTTCAACAAGCGACATTTGATGTTACTATTTCAGGCAGATTTTACTCTTGATAATACATTAATAATAATAAAAGTGTTTAAAAATATATATTAACTTCATTACTATTCACACATTGCATTCGTCTACCTTTGTTAGTAATTAAGTCTGTAAAAATGTTGCATTCGCCGAATGAACCAGGTAGAGCCACCATATCCTGTCACAATATTAGAGATTAGTCGACGGCACGGCCGTTTTCGATACGATGTATAGCAATAAAGTTATTAGAGCGACGCGACTCTGCTTAACGTTAACCTTAAATGAGCAAATCTCGTAGTCGATTTGGTAACTTCAGATTTTTGTGAATATTTTTTATATCCTTAAATACGTTGAAAAAGGAAAACTAGTCTTATCTAGTCCTCGAATTCATGGTCACCTGTAAATTATATCTAAAAAATTATTGTTCTCTAATATCACTAAGATACGAGATTTGCTTTTATTTGGCGACAAGTAAATTTATAATTGTCAGCAGATGTCAAGTAAACGCCACGGACTGCAAGTTAGGTAGTCATGTGATTTTAGAAGGTCGACTACAATTTAACGATCAGATTTTTATTATAATTATAAAAGCTTGATAGAGACCCCTATCCGAGTTCATTTAGCGTAAGAAAGTTATTTGAATTTATAAATTAAATGTAAATTTTCACCTGTGCGTAAATTGTTGACCAGAACGATATTATATTATGCATTCATTGTAGCTTATGTTATATGTGCAAATTTAACTAGTGACGTTCTCGTCATATGCAATGTTTATGTATTAACAATTTTTATTATTTGACAAATCCACTATTGCGCTTCATTTAATAAATTTATTGTATATTTAATAATAAATTATTATAAAATGCTATAATTCATGTTAATTTACTCGGGTTGCTAGATACATTTTAAATCTTCGTCAGCATTAAGAGTTTACTATTAATTAATTATTATATTATAGTGGAGTTATTGTAATGAGACGAAGCAAGTTACGGTGCACCGGTGATATAAACGCCATATGAATCATGATATACCTTCTAGTTGTGAACCTTCTCGTATGACGCTATGTAGTCAAACCCACCTCACGCATGGCTAGGCTTTAAGACATAATATCAGGATTATTTGCTCAAGAGGCAATCTATATAGTGAACATTGAATCTCATGACATTTTTGCACACCGATGTTTCATTGACACATTAGGCGAGGTGCAAGTTGTTTGTTGATCATTTTTATAGTAAGCAATTGTGTTATATGGTGTGAAATGTCTCACCAATTTAATAGTGTTTGACATTTATTTATTGAGAATTTTATTTTCTTACGAAATAATAGAGTGCCCATCTGCAAATATGGCCGATGACGCGAGCATGTCAAGCTTTAGACCGAATTATTTTTATTGATGTTACTTCAAGTTATTTATTCCCGTTTTTACTAAGTGCACTAAATTGTAAATTTTATATTAAACTGACGATTTTATTTCGTTACTGTATGAATGAATTTTTAAATTAGCTTCATCTTCTAATGAGATCATTTTGCTGCACTTAGTAGTTTGGGTAACGAAACCATTATGTACTTAATAATTGTTATGTGAGGGTAGTTTGAACTTATTTTGTGTCTTAACACCCAATTCACATGTCAAATAAAAAATGTATGATAGACAACTTTGACGAATGTAAGGAATCATAACCAGGCAGATTTTTTAAATATAATCTACCAGCAGTTGCTTACCAAAGATTTATTAGAACCTGCAAAATGATTGAAAGATAGTTATTCCTCTTTTGTTTGATTGTTCGGTTTGGCAAATTAATGATGCTGGTTGTGATTCCTGTTTGGGATTGTGTAAATAATTAATAATTTTAAGTTTATACACTGGTGTATTAACAATATTTTATTACGAGAATGATTATTTTAATAGCTATTTATTTTAATGACTAAGTAGGTATTCTATTTAATTAATCGATCGTGTTATTTTAACTGTGTATAATTAAGTGTAATTAATGTATTTTGTAATCTAGTTATCTTTTAACACCAGATATCCATATTTGCAGATGTACAGTGTTTATGAGTTAGTGATGTTCAATAGAATAGTTTGAATAAAATTATTTACGTTGAAAATTCTATTGTTGTTTTTCTTACACCACAACATTCTGTGGTGTGCAAACTCCTTTGAGTAGTTGGTCAACAGCATTTCCATAACATATACAAAAATATTGTAATAAATATGCATTATGTATAAGTGAGTAGCTCGGTGGCGTAGTGGATAAGCACCGCGGCCCGCGATCGTAGTCGTTAAGCAACTTTCGCAAGGGTCGGTCTCAGGATGGGTGACCAAAAAATTATTATCTCGAGCTACTCCGTGCTTCGGAAGGCACGTTAAGCCGTTGGTCCCGGCTGCATTTGCAGTCGTCAATACCCTCCAATCCGCATTGGGCCAGCGTGGAGGGTCATGGCCCATCCTCCTTAACCATCCATAAGGAAGGCCTGAGCCCTGAGCAGTGGGGACGTAAAAGGGCTGGTGGTGGTGGTGATGTATAACAAAATCGATTGCGAAAAATTTGATGAGGTCGTCCCCTCATCAAATTTTTGCGAGTAAACTTTGAGTGTGACGTCTATTGCTATTATGAAATAGGGACAAATAGCCCAGTTACGTATGTCTGTCAGTCTAACAGCGGCACCCTTGTGGATTTTAATATTTCTAGACTGGTCAAGTCGTTTATTTATCAGCCCATTACGTAATACGGAGAAATAGCTAATAGTATTTCATAATTTCAAAAAGAAACGAGTCTGCGGCGCTGCCAGGCTAACGGACATAAAAACGTATTCATTAAATTATGTAATCCGTTAGGCTGGCAGTACAACCCTTTTCGATTTCGAAATATTTTTTTTAATTCGGGTTTGGATTTTACAAAATCGCAGGACAGGTTAATAAACTTGATTCAGTCCCTTACAAAATAAGGTCAATTAGCAAAGTTACGTAGATTTGAGGCTTACCGAATCACAACTCTCTTATATCTACATATAATAAATTACAAAATTCCAGCAGGTCGATTCCGTAAAAATCCTATCCCTAATTCACTCAGCTGACCTAGCGCATCTTCGAAAGCGATATCCGCTTAACCATAAATTGGTATTAACGTTTCGTGGTATAACTGAGTTTTGAAATGACAGGGATAAAATGTCTGAGATAAATATGAATTGATCAACCTTGTATTTTTAGAGATTTTATTAATTCCGTTTAAAATTAATAAAATCTCTACAAAAATAACTTAATTTGCTTTGAAAGTGAATTAGGACACCTCAGTGAATTCTAATTCGGTTTCGGATTCTTACGAAGTCGCTCTGCTAGTCATCTTTTTTATAAGTCTGGGACATAGCGGTGATAAATGTCTAAAATAAATAGTTTGAGATAATTAAGAATTAATGTGGCCATATCTTATAAACTATACCACTTTAGAAGCTCATTCTTATAAAAATATTAAGTCATTTTTGAGTGAATTCATGAAACATTAACACTTCATGTCCTACAAATATTCACCACTATAGAATAGGGATGACGACTAATTTTTGTTTGTTTGTCCGTCAGGTAGAGTGTTAAAAGATATTAAAGACGTATTTTTTTATTTTTTTCGTAATCATAAAATTATGGCGTTACATGGAGTTGAAATTTCGCATGACGTCACGTTATGGTACGTTTTCTACTAAACTGTGACGTAGCGAGCCCCCACTCCTCAACTTCAATGCCTGTTATCTAAGCTATTTCTTGTTAAAATGAAGTAAAAAAAAAATACGTATCTACTTTTTTTCTATTATCTGACTGACGGACTAAATAGAATTGCATTTTTTTACACAGTCGTCATCCCTATACCATGAAGTGGGGATTATGCAAATGATCTCAACAACCACAAAATATTTTACCGCTCTGATTATTCCAATGAAATGTTTTAGTATTATTGTGACGAAATACTGTTATATGATCTAACCCAGAATAAGAATAATTATAGATCAGTCAAATATGTATCACCTACCAAATTGTGGTTTGGTGTTTGCTATGATTAAACCTTCAGGAAAGTTACACACAGAATTAGCCAGACCTGTTTTTTTTTTTAATATTTATTCCAGTTATATAACACCGCTATGGACTAGACTGATAAGAGGGGATTAAATTATAACTTGCAAAGATTTCGAAATTATTACAATACAGTTCCCCAAAGAATCTGTTGTTGTATTTCCAGAACAAATAGTATGGATAAATTTGACCATGTTAATGAAATAAAACAAATTTTAAAATTTCACAAACTGTCCTTATATTTCATCCAATACAACAGTAGTCTTCTCAGAAACATAAAGACCGTCCAAGAATTTTCGGATATCCTTATTTTTTACTGTGGTTGACTGTTGAATAAGAGCTGCTGAACTGGAGACATCTTCCAATGAGTTTCCTTCAATAATCAACTCATCTTTTTGTTTGGGAGAGTTGACAACAGTCACACCAGGTGCCATTTTTACTCTCCTAATGTATTTCTCACCGAGGAAGTTACGGATTTCTATTACAGAATTTCCTTCAGTAGTGACACAGTTGATGGGGAAATGGGCATATACAGCACGCATCTTATATTGGAAACCCTTGGTTACACCTGGAATTAAATAATAGCAAAATTAATTTCAACTTGCTTTATAAGACTAAAAAAGAACCATATAATATGTTTTGTCTAAGAAAAAAGATACAGGATACTCTTATATCATTATAGAATATATTCAAGAGAAATAACTACAAAAATAATTATAGAAAAAAAACCATTCAAAGTTATAACTAGGTACCTAAAAATAAATAAATTTCTCAAACTGTTGAATAATTGATGTTTTAATAATAATTGACCATGATGATATTTGCCAGACTTATATTTTTAACTTCTATAGTCATAAACACTAGTAGAATGGCTTACGAGTGCAGTGATGTCCTATTATAAGACATTTATCAAATTTCCCCAACGGTATTTCTTCAAACATAGAATGTCAAATATAAGTTCAAGATAATTAACAGAAATTGTGATATTTAATGGTGACATAATGTACTGCTTTGTGTTTAACTAGTGTTAATTTAACTCTAGAAGTATTGAAATTGGTTATAATGACTCCATATATTTAAGTCTACTAAACTGATACAACACTCATTAACAAAAAATAATAAAATAGTCATGTACAATTTACAATTTGAAATTAGACTTGATTCTTTTCATGTTGTTTTAAAAGTTGTGTTGACCCACCAATAGTCATAGTTTAGTTTTTCGTAGAATATAATAATACCTAAGTATCTTTAAGGAGGCCAGGAAGATTTATAATTTGTAAATCTTTTGAGGTTGTAAAGGCTGTCAAAACTAGTGATAATTGTAAAACTACTTTATAAATTAATACATTAAATTTAAAGCTTTTTATAGTTTTACTCATATTTAAGGAAATAAATCTAAATAGGCTTGTGTCCTACAAGTGAAAACACTGGTTTCTGTTCGGAAAATATAAACCATATTATCTTTTAAATATTGAATCAAATAATTTCATAACACTAATTTGGAAAATATTTTGCTTTGAATTACTGAAAAGTCAGGAAAATATACTACAAATATTTGATACAATATATATGGCTTTAAATCAGTTATGTAAATCATACTACTTTTCATTATAATTGCTATAAACATTAATTCTTTCTGAAATTACATTTTTCTGAAATTACATACAATTATCATTTTTCTTAATTCTAATTAACTTCATATCTGTTTTACTGACTTCCAAAATGCAGAATTTTGATGTTAATAAAGGTGTTACAAGTTCAACAGAAATTCTTAAGATATAAGAGCGCTTCCTTAGATATAACAATACTGTAAAAACTACCTGAAAGCTTAAAATTATTTAATTTATATAAAAAAATTATCCGTGTATTAGGAACACAAGTTTATAATATTAAAATTGAAGCGTCGAATCAATAAACATGAGATATTTATTAAAAAATTAAGTCTATAAATAAATTATACTAGAAAATCCTTTAGTAACCACAAAAATAAACATTTGTTTGATGTAAAACCTGCTTTCCCTCTAAGCTGCTAAATGTAATCGAGTTTATAGTACCAGTTGATGTTAAGAGTGAAATATTTTACAATTAGAAGATTGTAACTAATTTGAAGTTCAAATCAGCTAATATAAAAACATACCCTTGATCATATTTTCAACATGAGAGCAAACTGTCCTGACAGCAGCCAATTCCTTCTTGGAACCAAACCATTTTTCTACTTTCAAGAGTCGTGGGTTCACCATGCGAATATCTACAGCCAAGTGTTTGAAATTTCTTTTCAAAACACCGCGCGGCCCTTTCACTGTCACCAACCGCGATTTCACATGAACTGTTAATCCATCAGGGATCTTCACTTTTTGATTAGCAACGATCTGCTTCATTTTAAAGGCTAAAAACAAAAAATAACATTGAACTATTGATATTAATAACCTACAATGTTTGACAAGTACCTATAGCCACAAGAAAATGGCATTTAATAAATAAAATATTACTTGATAATAACTTAAGATGGTTAATACGGTAACTTAAATATAAAAAAACACGATGATATCACTAATTTCATTAGATTTTCATGGATTTTAAAAACAAGTACACCTACGTTCTTTGACACAAAGAGCCGGAAAAGAGGGAAAGAAGTTGCCATAACAATAAATAATAAATAAATCGGTATCACCCACGAAGTACCGCCGTGGTGTCATTGAAACGGAAATTATAATGGAATATTAATTTTAATTAAATGAGTAATTTAAACTAATCAACTATAAGATTTTTCCTGTTGATTAAAAATAACAATCATCTCGATATTCGTTAGAAATTAAATTTACATTGTTTTCATTGAACTCCCTTAATCTACAATTGTGGCTACTTCAACTAACAACTGAAATTTGTGTGCAACTGTTGGGCTGAATATCCCAGTTTAAAATATACAGTCGCTTTTTAAAAGCATAGCGATGTTAATTGGGATATTAACAATATACAACATTTAAAGTCGCATTCGCTTTTGAAAAGCTTGTCGATTTAAATAATCCGCCGAAAGTTTGCAATTAGCATTCAGTTCTTTCGTTTGATATTTCCCAAAAGCTTTTAAGCGTTTATTGCTTTCCTTACATAATTCCAATTAACGTCAAATTAACGATGTAGTTTTTTCAATATCTTTTAAGCAAACATCACTATTTAATAATCGATATCAAATATTTAAAAAAATCTGAATTATGTTACTCATTTTTGACAAGTTAAAGCTCGGTGACTCTTAATAACAGAATAACAGAGTTCAATTCGAAGCACGACAAAAGTTGCTAAAGAGGTACTATATGACGACTTCCAATATGCTTAGCAATCAAATCCTATTAATCCTATTTTAATTATTTAATATTATAAATGTGAAAGTTTCTTTGTTTGGATGTTTGTCCGTCAATCACGTTGAAACTACTGAACGGATTTTTATGAAATTTGGTATACAAATTTGGTATACAGATAGGGTATTAGCTAGTGTTGCCAGGTCCAATTTATTATTAATCGGGACAGCGCGTGTAATTAATGTAAATCGGGACATACAAAAAAACAAGTATTAGTACTAGTTTGGAAGCTTTTATGCTTTCAGACATAGATAAATATAGTTAGGGGCTTTCAAAAATGGATTTGACAGGACGAAAAATTTTTTTTTAATTTTGATTTTTTAAGTTTGATTAGGTACAAATTGGGACGCATCCCCAGACCCCTGAAAATCGGGACGTCCCGCGTAAATCGGGACTCCTGGCAACACTAGCATTAGCTGACTGTTTTTATCCCAATAAACATTTCCCTAGGGTCCACGCGGGCGAAGCCGCTGGCGAAAGCTAGTTATTAATAAATAAAGAGAGTGCCTTTTGCTTTAAGTACATACTTTGAGAAATCTTTGTAAAGTGATATTTTAAAATGATCTCAAGTATAAAATGGACTTTCTTTAAACTAAATACATTTTTATCACAATAAAAACTTGAGACTTAAATTTTAAAATGTCCTATATTTTTAAAACTGTAACTCGTTAATTAAATCTCCCACTTTCAATGTATGGCAGTAAGATATAAGAAATAACAAAAATCAACAACATGAGCCTTGTTTTTAATTGGCAGGTGACTTTTCTTTGACAAATGATTATATATCTCAGAGTACCAAGGATAAAATGGATTTTGAGGCATATTTCATTAAAAATATTTTTTCAGTATAGCACTGTGAATGCAAATTTGATTAAATATGATATTATAAATGTTATTTAATTTGTATATTTGAGATTATGATATTACGCCAAACATTTCTTCTTCCTTCCGTGCATGTCAATATTATAAAAAAAACCACTTAGGTGGCAACATTGGTTGACAGTTGTTGTTTTTTTATTTAATAAATATTAAGGCTTTAGTCCACACAGCCTTTATTTAATTTGTTTTGTTTTTACATAAATAAATAAGATAACTGGTTAATATGAATTACTTAAAAACATTTGTTACCAATGAGGAAGTATTAAAAAAAATAAAAATTTGTTCTTGAAATCATACTAGATGTCACTCTCGATGTGTTTGGATACTGTCTATGATATTTATACAATTTTTTCTGACGTGATAAAAGTAAATTGAGTATTGGAAATTAATAAATATAACATCGTTTCGTGTTTCGTCCATTCGTTTTACTAATATTAAAATACTGAAATTTGAAAAGTTAAAAGGAACGGAAATGACTGTCGTTGGTCCATTCGTTTCCTGCACAAATCAAGTCGCCATCTAGTGGAAGGGCTTTTTTAGTGCTTTCGTTATTTTTTTTAAATACTTCCTCACTTACTTTTAAACATGAAAGAAAACCGGAAGGGTTATCATGGAGAAATCAAGAACGTACCGTAGCGAAATCTAGTTTGATTTCGGGAACTAATGTCTTTTTTAAAATACTTCTTTATTGACATTCGGTCCTACAATTTGTGCGATCATAGATAAAATTAAAGATTCACCGTCTCCGTCGCAAAATAATTACATTTTAACAAATATTGACTAATACAATCATTTTCTTACCTATAAAAATACAAATTTCCAAACTGTTATTAAACGTCTGAACGAGATTTTTTTACTTTTGGTACCCCAATGTATGTACATTTGGACAGGGGAAGCTATTTTATGTCGCCAGAATTTATTTTATGGCTTACATCTCGTGAAATAGCTTCTAGTAAGTAAGAATAGCTCCATATAATCCCTAAGGAAATGGATAAGTTGAGCGCTTAAACGGGTCTTTATAGAAAGCTAATCAACTTAGTCTTTGATCACAACGTTTGGTTACGTGTGATTGGGATAAAGTCTTACGTGGATATGCATATCAATGGTTAACCTCATATTTAGAAAATAGGGAACAGTTTCTCCAGATAGATCACTATGACCTCTAAAATACTCTATTACATGTGATATCGGAAAAAAAGAAAGTAGATCGCTCAATTCCATAAGGTAGTATCCTAGAATGCATTTTATTCCTGATATATATAAGTGAAATATCGACCTGTTTTAATACAGATGGTGTCATTTAAGCTGATGATGTATCTTTACTAACACCATGTAAAAATAGTGTAGAATAACAAAAACAAATAAAATAATGTAATGGTTAGAAGATCACAATTTAGAATTTAATTTAAATAAAACAAAACAAATATAATTTAAACCTAAACAAAAAAAAAACCTATAGAAACCAAACTTGCCTTTCAAAATAATAATTTAGAATTTGTACATTGCTGGGAATAGAAATTTATTCAGATATAAGTTGGAAAATACACATTGATGGAGTAGTAACCGAACTCTCAAAATTTATTTATGTGCTTAATGAATTAAAGAAGAGTACAGATTTAAAGTAGAGGGGTTGATTAATAAGCTTTAAAGAGGTATCTGTCACAAAGAAATTGATGGCGTAGTTTCAACAATCAACCCCTCTATGTCAAATTATCTCGGCTCTCAAAATTTATACAATCATCCACATACTAGTCACATAAACCTACCATGCTACCATGTCTAGTCTTAAGTTTTCGTAAGTTTTCCTCTTTTCAATGGATGGGAGCAAGTTTCGGGTAAAAATCGGAAGGAATGCGGATCTGTGCCGCATTCCTTCCGATTTTTACCCGAAACTTTGAAGTGTTAATCCAGGTTCCTATTATCCATTTTAATTTAGATTTTAAAAAAGAATAGGTTGACTTCAAAGTATAATTTTTACTTCATGTTACTTGAAACATGAAATGATTATCATCATTTGTACTGTGATCTACAAGTAAAGCAAGTCCTAAATGACTTAATTTCATGCCACCACTGACAATACGAAGGGACTTAGATTGTACAATATCAAGTTTCTTTAATCCAAATGAGCTACAGGGTTCAAGAAAGTAAGTCCCGTAATCTAAAATGCTCCTAACTAATGAATTATAGAATAATTTTAGAGATAATGGTAAAGATCCCCACCAGACTCCTGTCAGACATCATAAGATATTCAAGCTTCGTTCACATTTACCTACAACATAATAACAATGAGAGAGACCTAACATTATATGGTCCAAAATTATTCCTAAAAATTTAGTCGAAGTCGCATTTTAAGCCTTAAATGAGGAAGTATTAAAAAAAAACGAAAGCACTAAAAAAGCAGCTCCTGTAGATGGCGACTCTAGCAAAAGTAGATTTTTGCAGGAAACGAATAGATCAAAGATAGTCATTTCCATTCCTTTTAACTAACATATTAAAAAACTGAAATCTGAAAAGCGCCATCTAGTGAGGCGCTGTTTTAGTGCTTTCTTTTTTTTTAATACTCACTCATTGTGTACCTAAGAGTAATAAATTTGAATATTATATTTTTTATTTTTAACGTTTGACTTAACATTCGAAAATACTTGTTATCTTATTGTAAATACTTGTTATATTAATACAAATAAACATAATTAAACTGATGACAAGGCAGCATGGTCTATGACCTTAGCCTTTTACAAGAGGTAGGAAAAGACAAATCTTAAGCTAACCACAAAAATGTTGAATGTTTATATAAACATTTGTTGAAAGTATAAGCAAGAATATATGTTCCTTTTCTATAAGTATTCTGGCCTCTGAATTATCAAAGGTTCTGAATAATAGTCTAATAATAACCGTTAACATGTTTCTAAAACCAATCTTGCTGAAAGAACTACGACAATGTCAGCGAATTTTACGCAGGGGTAATTTAATTGTTTTCATTTATGTGTATATTATTTAATAATTAAGTTAATTATATTCTTAATTAATCATGTTTATTTGCAGGAGTAAGTACAACATCAAGTTGGGATATTGTCACAGGTATTTGCGTTGAAAGATTACCAGTAGTCACTCCACCCCTAAATGAGATGCAAAAGAAATATAAGGATATGCTTTATGCCATAGAGTTAGAGAACAGTTTAAAATCAGATCATGAGATTAGGCATGACTATGAAAAGTAAGTACTGTATGGTGATTAATATATAAAATAAATAAATTTTGATGTTTTATATTATCTACAATTATCTCTATGATTTCTAGAAAGCAAGCTGAGCTTTTAAAAAATGAATCTGCAGATGTAGATTTGGATACAGTAAGCAAAATCACAGCTCAAGATTTTGAAGATGCTGCTACTGAGGAATTAGCTCAATTTAAATTTGCTGATATTGTAACAGGTATAAGCATTTGTACCACTAACATAACTCTTAAATATTTACTTTAAACAATTAATTATAGTATTTTAAATTAAGTAAAAAAGTGGATTCCATAATAGCACCAGTCGATAGCATGTGAAGTTATACAAAATAAACAATTTTTTCTAAATAGTTTTAAGGATTTACTTTTAAGTCTGTTGTACATAAATTTTAACCAATTGCATAAATTGACATTGTGTGGTAATGTAATGTGCCACTCTCAGTGATGGATTAGGCCATAAGCCACACCAGCAACAACATCAAAAAGAATTTATGGGACAAAGTAAGGTAGGTAATCCAGTACAAAGGTATAGATTAGTTAATGATAAATATTGAACTTCTCCAGAAGCTGACAAAGCAGGAAATAAAGCTTCCATTGAAAGATGTTTGCAGAGACATCTAGTGCTTGTTACAACACTTAAATTAGGTCAAGATACCAAAACAATCCTCCCACAAGGAAAATGGCAGGAAGGAGAAACATTACGACAGGTATTTATAATGCAGATATAGATTCAGTATACTTTTTGCTAAGAGGCTTGCCATCATTGTTTGTTTTTAAATAATAGAATAAGCTTCTTATTTACATTCTTTAAATGGTATTTAATAAAAACTTTAATATTATATTAAAAACCTATGTAATTGAACAGATCGAATTGATAATTTTTTACAGGCTGCTGAAAGAGTTCTGTTACAACATTGTGGGTCTGACCTAAAAGTGCAGTTTTTATCAAATGCACCTTGTGGATTTTATAAATACAAGTATCCTTCTGAAATTGATGGAAAAGTTGGTGCGAAGGTAAGAAAACTAAAATTGCTTTTGAATTTTAAATTATAAACATGTCATAGACCTGTGTCTGCTCAGCTTACTCATTTGTTGACCTTGTATCAGGGTAAAATCTGCATATATATGTTCATTTAGCTGTTCTGTGGTGTTGTCCTATTTGAATATAGAGCTTTAAGCAACTGATGTAATTTTATCATACAATGAGAAGGCAACTGAATAGAAAAGCTGAAACTAGATGGCGCTAGTTAGGTTGATGGTCAAGACAACTGTTATTTGGTTAATTTATTTGTTTTTTTTTATATTGAATTATTTTTTATTAATTATACCTATGTTATACATATATATAAATTAAAAAATAAGTTGACACCTAAGGTAATAAACTTTTTTATCAAATCTGCCTTTATCATCTTCTTTGGTAGATTACTCGATTTATGGTATTTGTTTGACAGTTCAATGATAATAATTTTCTACCATTTTGTTCAAAATCACGCAGTTATAATTATGTACGATCTACACCGATCGGGCAGTGGTAGAGCACGTGCCAGTCATGTTCTTTGGCACTAGTAGATGACCGCGGCCGCCCGAAGGCTACGTCTGCTGGAACCTTAACGCATGAACCTTAAAAACTGTATGGAAATCTAAAATTAGTCAGATGTTCTATCCAATTTCTTTCATATTGTCTTCATTACGGGAGTAGTAGTGAAGGAGATCTAGCCTGACAATGCTTTAAAATGTTGCTAAAAGTAACATGTAATTATCACTTTCTTTTTCTATGATTTCAAATTGGTTGACCTACAGTCACGCTAGCGCCGTCTAGCGGGAAAAACACCACTATCACTAACACAAACATTTCTTAGAGTATCCTAATTGAAGCTCATAGAAATGCTTGATAATAATTGTATGTTGGGTTTATCATTATTTAATATTTTTATTCATTTTCAGTGTTATTAATAAACAAGGTTTAATGTTAGAGTAAATTTACGCTGAGACTGTACTTAGTATTAGTCAAAATTTAATATCATTAAACTGAGACTTAGCAAAGGTTAATCTAATATAAGGTTCTATGGGAGTAGTATGCACACCTAGAACTAGGTTTGCTTATTCTCTGTATAAAATGAATTTGGACTAATACATTGCGATTTTAGTGTAAATTTACTCTAATGCTAAACCTTGTTTATTAATAGGACTGTTAAATTTACTTGTTTAATGCTTATTTCTGTACTGCTATTACATGTAAAAATTATTACTTTATGCTTTTTATTGTCTGCAGGTTTTCTTCTACTATGCAAATTACAAAAGCGGTAATGTAAATAAAAACGTTAAAGCAAATTGGTTGACACGAAATGAGCTAACTGAGATACTACCTGATAAATATAAAAAATCTGTAGGAGAATTTCTTATCGAAGAGACATACTAGATGGTTGTAATAAATTAGCCTTAGAAATTGATAATATATTTTACTGAACTAATGACTTTTTAAATATCCTCTCCAAATAAACATGCTTTATCCATATTTATTTCTTCTATTATAAATATTTGCAAAAATTTGATTTATGCTAAACTTAGTATTTATTGTTATCGAACATATGCTCTACTCGAGAAATAACAGTAATAAGAAAAGTGCTTTCTCCTTATTGAATCGACTGTAATCGAAATCGGAACCTAAGAGATAGCGGTATAACGAAATCGATTTACACTAGGCCAATAGCCAGTATTGGCATCATGTAAATTGAGATAATCCTCAAGCCAGAGAGCCAGATCTTAGTGAATATTATGACAATATTTTGTTTCATTTTACTCCTTTGAAATGTCTTTTGGTTGATAAATTTGTTATAAATATTAAGGCTAAGTTAGAAACACTATATTCATCATCTTTCTTTGTTACTAAAGTAAAGTCAAAGTAGTAAAATGTCACAAACCAACGATATAATATTGCTAATTGCTAAGATGTATCCTGTGACTAGAGTTATAGCTATAGAAGTAACTTTTGCCGGCGTGGCTTACTGAACTGTCTCCTCGAGCCTGAGAGGAGACAGTTCAGTAAGCCACGCCGGCCAAGTTACTGAGAGCTGGTAAGTTTCTCGAGTCTGTTTTTCTTGTTCTGAATGAACGTAACAAAACATTGAACGATTTGTTTTTTTCAAAAAAACGAAATGGTCGCCTAGTGCTTGTTGGAGGGTATTAAGACTGTACATGTTGCAACGGAGCAGCTCAATATGATACATTTTGGTCACCCATCTACTGATCAGCCTTTATTAAAGTTGCAAACCGAAATGGTTACATTGTTGCACAATCGAGTTACCATAACGCCTTTTGCTTAATTCCAAGTCGTTAAATAATAATCGTATGTTGGGTTTATCATTATTTAATATTTTTATTCAAGTCTTTAAAGTTGTAATAGCTGGCAAATTCTTAATACGAAGGTAATTAATTGAAATAAAAAAACAAGGGAAGAAATTTCCGATATAAAATGGTTTTTATCTTGAATAAATGAAAAGTTCTTCGATATGATTCTTTCAGCGTGGCGTAAAAATGTAAAGAAAAATCGGTTTCTTTTTGCTCTATTTAATTTTTCGTCGGAGATTATTTATCATTGACCTTTATGGATCAAAGCGCAACCGTACCAAGTCTCTCCATTATGACTGTACAATTTTCTTGCTCTTCATGGATGCGTACAGGCTTTCGAGAGGGTAGTTCACGGGCATAGAGATACTAGAATATATTTGAAGAAGTAGTCCTAGTCAGGATTTGAATAATTATTAAAACTTTGTTACTATTAAAAGCAACTTTAAGTGCGCAGTATAATTTCTTACATGTACTCGGAAATATTATTTAACGTGAAAACTGTCTGAGCGCTAAACAGTAACCATCGAAATAGAAGTTTATTCAAACAATGAGCGTGATTTACTGGTAAACAGTTTTTGGCTCCTGAAGCGTCCAGGTGTTTCATGAAATCCTTCTAAAGTGCACGTTATTATTGAAGCGTTAAAAGCAATATTTGTTTAAATGTACCCCTTGAAGAAGTTTACAAAGTTGCCTTTCACTATTAGTTTTTGTGTAGCTACACATAAAGTTGTAATTAGCGTACCGGTGTGCTTTGGTTTGATAAAGCGATGGAACATGTTTGCTGCACTTCTCAAGGTTAGGGCTGTCGCTACCATAAATAATGTTTTTTAAGGTGCCCTTAATCTATCAAAACAAACTAGCGTTCTAATTTATTAATAAAGTAACAATCATGAAAGTAATGACCTATAGCTTGACCTATAGTTCATTTACAATGTAGTTTATGCACCTGTTGAACATTTACAAGACGAAATTTACGAGCATTTTAATTATAAAACTTTCATTTAAGAAACTTATTATACTTTTACTAATATAACAACCATATCCTATCGATTAATATTAATTATGAAACGTATCTTTATTTAAATATATTGAAATTCAAATCGATGCTAACCCTACTCAGGTTTCCTCGTTGGTCTTTTCTTGTCAGTTTACAAACAATTGTGTGCTGTTTTTCGTTTCTGGTAAGAATTAATAATTTTACACGAAAAGCTAATACTTCGAGTACTTTGGTGCAGATTATTCAGCTAGTTTTGTTTTTGGTAATTTTGTTAACAACACGAGTTTACGGAATACACGTGGCAAATTATTTGTATTTACATAATATTGGATTGGGAACTTTTGATCTAGTAACATACATTCTGTTTATTATAGCCGGTTGTTTATTATTATATTATTAGCTAAACCTAACCATGATTCGCTGTGACTCAATTCGCTAGTTTTGTAAGAAATACAGAATAATAAAAAGAAAATTCGACTTCGAAAAAGCTTTAAAAAAGTGATAATAATAAAAGGTGGGCTTCTCTTAAAAAGCATATCAAAGAACATTCATCATCATCAGCCCTTTTACGTCTCCACCGCAGGGGCTTAGGGCTTCCTTATAGATTGTTATGAAGGATGGGTTATATTCCTCCACGCTGGCCCAATGTGGATTGGAGAGTATTAACAACGCAAATGCAACCGGAATCAGCGGCTTAAATTGCCTTCCGAAGCATGGAGTAGCTCGTTATAATATTTTTTTGATCACTCATAACTTAACCGACCCTTGTGAAAGTTGCATAAACAACGATCACGGACCTAGGCGCTTGTCTACTACGCCTCCGAGCTACTCATAGCCAAAAGAAAACTTCTAAGAACATTATCTGTCTAATAATTTAGTGTAATTATATATCTACGAGTATATTTTCACACTAAATCTTCACGAAACGAGCGCCACAAAGCATGGCCTTTTCATAGGTACGTCTTTCGCTTCCCTGATATGCATAACTCTTCATTGAGCTAGATTTCAACTAGATCTGTCAATCTGGTGGGCATATATGAATACGACATCATACGATGTTATGGTGATAAATCGTTTCATTTTATTGCCGTGATATGTCTTTTGATGAATGAGGGACTAAATTGGTGAGGATGACTGTGATTTAATAGCTACACTTTTTCTTTCTCTTTATAAAAAAAACGAATGTTTTCTAACATTCCAAGTGTCAATAATCGTAAATTTAGCTGTTGCACAACGGTGCATCAAGGCCAACGTTTATTAAACACATTCAGCTTTCATGAGCTGCTGACACAAGTTCTCGCTCTACAATTGCCCTTTTTAGTGCAATGAATGGGGAAATGCGCTGAAGTCCCCCGATCAACGTGGTCGGTTAATGTTAATCTATACCCAACGTTTATATATGATTTTAATTTATACACCAATAATTTAATTGTAAAATAAATAATGCGTAAAACAGTATGACGTTAGTACAATAGACATCTTTCCAAAGCTGTATTCTACACCCAAAAAACCTTACCGAACAACTTTTAACAAATTAAATATTACGCTCTGAGGATAGTATATTTTTTCATCTCCTAAGGCTGTTTCCAAAAGTGATATCTTTATAAAAAGTGTATTTTTTTTCTTTTAAGAGACCGTTTTTAGTTAGGATAATTTCAATTTTATTTATAAAATATAAACTAACTAACCATCTCTGAGTATGGCTTTCTCCACCGCCCCGCCAGGCTCCGCGGGGGGCAGCCCGGCCATACTATCTATAATTGATAAAATTCTCAACGAGCCCCAAGTTTCTTTTCAACATTCCCCGATTTTCGGAATGTCTAATATGTAACAGACAGAATTCCTTTAAGCGGGTAATTATTTTTATTTCGATTAATTTTATTGTCGAACTATATTTAAGATGTCATACTGCTTAATCACTTTATCGGTCTGTTGCACAAACGTCAATGAAGGTTTAATACGCCTTTGAATTCTAATGAATGTCAAATATGTATGGGTAATGTCGCTTTAAACAAAGAAATGTTTAATAGACTTTTGTGCAGCTGGCTGTAAATCGTTCTATTTACTATATTTTGATGTGGTTCAAATTAAGGTAATTCAGCATTGTCTTATGTAGTCAGTTCAGTTGCACAAACGTCCATTAAGATTTAATGACGTCTTTAAGCTCTAATTAATGTCAAATTTGTATGGATAAAGTCACTTTAAACTAATGGAAAATTTAATGAACGCTTGTGCAACTGGCTGATAGTCTTATTATTATCTTGCTAACATTTAATGTTCAAATTTCGTAATTTATATGATAAAATAAATATTATAAATTCCATGTATCCTATTCACGAACTTGCTATGTTTATCAAAAGACGAATACGTATCGTAAATATTGATTTTGTCAGCAATCAAGTTATATGGGAGTATCATTCGACTAATCGTAAAACACTTAAATCTAATCCCATTAGAGATTCCGACAATTAGCTGTTTTATTTTTTAATGAGTCCATTAAAACATTCGGTGAAGTGAAGCAGGTCCTACTTTGTTTAATGACCGATCTTTCTATATGAACTCAAAAAAATGGTCCCCAAAAGACTTCACATAATCTGCGTCAAACTTAGATAAAACGGGTAATAGAAACTGAGTGGGCCATTGTTCCAGCTTTAATGGACCACCGGCTGATACGTGGCGGCATTCCCGCAAAAACATTCGGCTGCAGAAAAAAAAACAGTATAAGAAAAACCTATTTCGCCATTGAGGTAGACAACTGAAGAATTTCGTCAAGTTTATCTCAGCCTTTCACAGTTCGAAGCGGCGTTGAATTATTGAGACAAACTTATCGTCGAAACGTGAGATGCTTTAAAGTAGTTCGGTACTTAAAACAGATTCAATGTGATAAGATAACATTAAGAAGGTGAGCTCTGTACAATTTGTAAGTATGTATTTATTAGCACTTCTTAAGATTCTTCTTGGGATTTCAAGGGAACTGTCGCTACGTTGCTGTAGAACAAAAAAGTACCGTAAGAGAGTCCCTGGAGAGATTACGCCACACATACCTTAGATAAAAATGGTCGACCACCAGTCACTGGTTTGAAAAGATAACGTGAACATAGAAATGGATTCGTTCTTTGCTTT